TGGTTCAATGCTGGGAGGCCATGTGGCCAAATGACGAAAGTGTCATCCACAAATCTCTTCCACAGGGAAGGACGCACTAGCAACATTAGCAAAAACGAACGCTCTGAACTCGCGAATTTAAAAAAGAGAGATGATATAGTCATCCTCTCTGCTGACAAGGGCAATGCTATGGTTATCATGGATAAAGACTCGTACAACAACAAAATCCAGGACCTACTCAATGATGGTAGTTGCTCCAAAATTAAAAGTGATCATACTAACAGCCTAACGACTAAAACCAACAAGATCATCACTAGTTCGACTTCCCTAATTGAACCAACCAAACGTTCCTCCCTAAAACCCTCGGCTGCAAGACCTCCCAGATTCTATGGTCTTCCCAAGATCCATAAAGAAGGCATGCACCCCACTACGGCCCATAGTTTCCACGATCAACCCTCCTACCTACAAGCTAGCCCGTTTTCTATCAGATACTCTGCTTCCCTTCACTGGCAAGACCACTTCAGCAGTACTTAACTCAACCCAATTGGTTTCTATGGTCAAGGACATGGTACTGTCTCCTGACGATATTCTTATCAGTTTTGATGTGGTCTCTCTGTTTACCAAAGTCCCAGTGCCTGACACCTTAACAATAATTGAAGACTTGTTCCAACATGGACTGAACTCGGATGTACCTGCGTTGGTTAGGCATTGCCTCACCAACACTTATTTTACCTGGAATGGCACCTTCTACAAACAGAATGAGGGTACCCCTATGGGCTCCCCTTTGTCACCAGTGATAGCTAATGTTTTCATGGAGAAGTTTGAATCATACGCCAACCAGACGTCTACCCTGCGTCCTTCCCTGTGGAAGAGATATGTGGATGATACTTTTGTCATATGGCCACATGGCTTCCCAGCATTGAACCATTTCCTGGACCACATCAATTCCAGCCACCCATCCATCAGATTCACCATGGAAGTGGAGAATGATGGTAAACTACCATTCTTAGATGTTCTGTTTGAGAGGAGACCTGATGGATCCTTGGGACATTCTGTTTACAGGAAGGCCACCCACACAGATTCCTACTTGAAATCTGATTCCTACCACCACCCGGCTCAAAAGAATTATCTCATCAAAACACTATACCACAGAGCGTATTGCATCTCTGACCAATACCACCTGACCAGTGAATTGAAACATGTACATCTGGCCCTCAAGATGAACGGATACTCTGACCGTACTATCCGCCAAGCTGTTTCTCCCACCATACAGAAACAACCACCTGAAACTCTGATCAAAACCATCACGTTAAACAAACATAAGATCCAAGTCGGATTCACTACAGTACATAAAATTCGTGATCTAATCCCATCTGTGAAATATGTAATTCCTGACTTGCAATACCCTGGAGTCTATAAATTGAGTTGCATCTGTGGTGATTGTTACATTGGGGAAATGAAACGTCACGTCTCTGATCGAGTCCGCGAGCACAAGTCAGATCTGAAACACGGCAAAACTGATTCTTCCGCCGTTGCTTATCATTGTTACAACGCTGTGGGCTCTCATGATATTGTCTTTTCCGAGACCAAGGTGCTCTGCAAACCTTCTGGCTACCATCAAAGGTTTGTGCATGAAGCCATCCATCCAGATATACAAACATAGACATAACTTCAACCGTGATGATGGGTACAAATTGAGCAATCATTGGAAAGATGTTATTAACCACGTAAAAATATTTAACTTCGCATATTTGTACAATCTTATTTGACAGGTACTAGTCTATTTAACCGAGTTGTTGACATCTCTAGCGTTTAACAGTGCTGCTATTTTTTAGTTTTGGAAGCCAACATCGGCCGTAATTCTTGCGGAGGTGCTTAACCTGTACCTTCCCTTCTAGCCCCGCCCACCTCCCCCTCCCAGTCCCTGACTGCCACATTTAGATAAGCTCCTCCCCCCTCCCCTTAACCAGTATATAAGATCTTGTCTCTTGGATTTCCCTTCACTTGTTACAGTAAATTTGGCTGTGACGGTCCCACCTGAAGACGGAGACTGGTGTTGCCTCCTAAACGTCGTGATTTAATTTAGTTATTTTCATTTATTGTTTTATTTTATTATTTTTTACCTACGTGACTTTACCGAAAAAACCTACGAGTACAGTACACAACAACTGTGCCATCTGTAAAGGATGTGATTTCTGATACGCAATACCCGGGTGTCTACATGCTTTCCCACCTGATGACGGACACTTGTGTTGCGCCTGAAACGTGATTTATTTTATACCTACGTGACTTTACCGAAAGAACCAAAGAGTATGGATTCCTGCAGTCACGAAAGCTTCAAATTAAGCTAGAAATAGGTGGCTCAAATAGGTGGCAGGAAAAGGTGGCTGCAAGAGGTGGCTGAAATAGGTAGCTGAAAGATGTGGTTGAAAGTGGTGGCTGAAAGATGTTGCTGAAATAGGTGGCTGAAATTGGTGCCTAAAATAGGTAGTTTCTCCCCTGCACGGCAATGTTGGAACAGGTGATGATTGGCTTTGTCCCGCTTCTAATCCGTTGGCGAGAGAATAAAATGAAAGGTCACTTTGGAGGCCCGGAGCGAGCGACGCAGGTAAATCGGAATCGAGTTTCATTCGAATAAACCTCGAAATCGGATACGCGATTCTGATGCTGAGCCTGAACAATAGGAGGCGGAGAGTCGAGGGAGGGGGAGACACGGAGGGCAACAGGGAGCCAGGACTGCGGTTTGTATAGTGTGTGTGGGTTTGTGTATGTGCAATGTGTGTGGCCGTTTGTGTAGTGTGTATACGTGTGTATGTGCAATGTGTGTGGCTGTTTGTGTAGTGTGTATGGGTGTGTGCAATATGTGTGGGTGTATGTATGGGTGCGTGTGTGCATTGTGTGTGGGTGATTGTGTAGTGTGTGTGGCTGTTTGTGTAGTATGTGGGTGTGTGTGTGTTCAATGTGTGTGCGTGTGTATAGGTGTGTGCATTGTGTGTCGGCGTTTGTTTAGTGTGTATATGGGTGTGTGTGTGTGCATGGGTGTGTGCAATGTGTGTGGGAGTGTGGGTGTGTGCAATGTGTGTGGGAATATATGGGTGTGTATGTATATATTGTGTGAGGAGCGGCAGTATAGTAGTTTGCGCGTTGTGCTACGAACCTGGCGACCCGAGTTCGAATCCCGCTCACGGAAAACACCAGTGACGATGGTCTGAACCGGTCCTGGGCCTCCTCTAGGTCGACTCGGCCTCAAATGAGTACCTGGTGTGGTGTAAACATCGCCACTAGGGAGAGACAAAGGCGGCCGGGCGTGGTGCTGGCCACCCACCCCCTCGTGTGCCGTGCCGGCCTTCATAGATGCTCGCTAACAGCACTTGCCCCAACAGTCTGTTCAGGCTATACGGGGGATCTTTGGCTTTGTACATTGTGTGTGGGTGTTTGTGTTATGTGTACGTTTGTGTGTACAATGTGTGTGGATATCTGTGTAGTGTGTGTGTGGGTGTTTGTGTAGTGTGTATATGTGGGTGTTTGTGTAGTGTGTATATGTGTGGGGGTGTTTGTGTAGTGTGTATGTGTGTGGGGGTGTTTGTGTAGTGTGTATGTGTGTGGGGGTGTTTGTGTAGTGTGTATGTGTGTGGGGGTGTTTGTGTAGTGTGTATGTGTGTGGGGGTGTTTGTGTAGTGTGTATGTGTAGTGTGGGGGTGTTTGTGTAGTGTGTAGTGTGTATATGTGGGTGTTTGTGTAGCGTGTGTATGTGTTTGTGTAGTGTACCATGTAGGGTCATGTAGCCTGCATGCCCAGCCACCGCATGCCTAAACAGGTTTTGTTCGGCTGGATAGAGGGGACTAAACGGGCGCGGCACAGAATAGAGAGGAGACGGAGTGATGTGGTACAAGAGGATGTGGAGCCAAGTATACTTGCCGATCACCGGTAGCAGCGGTGTCAAGATCGGCCTCTGTGGAGGAGGCTCGTGAAGGACGCCACAACTGGGCAGTTGGGGGCAGTCGCCATCCAGCAACAATGGAGCGCAGAGGAGCGACACAACAACGAGCAGAGCGCCGAGTGGCTAAAACACAGCATGTTGGTACAATAGGGGGCACAGGTGGTGCATCGGCCAGTCATCTCAGTCAGTCGACCCATGACACCTCCTAGGTCTGCCCCGTGACCTCCTGCCAGCGGGCGTTCGACACTTAACCTGCACATATCCTGGCACAAGCGCCGTGGTGACGTCACCACCACTTTGTGGCGAATGGCGGTTGTGTGTATGGATTGATATGTTTATCGGTTGTGTGTATGTGCAGTGTGTGTAGGGGTTGATGTATGTGCAGTGTGTGTAGGGGTTGATGTGTGTGCAATGTGTGTAGGGTTGACATTTGGTATGGGTTGATGTTTGTGTGTGTATGGGTATGTGTGTAGGGTTGACGTGTGGTATGGGTTGATGTGTGCGTGTGGGTGTATGGGTTGATGTATGTGTGTAGTGTGTGTATGGGTTGATGTTTGTATATGCAGTGTGTATGGGTTGATGTGTGTATGTATGGGTTGATGTGTGTGTATGGTTACATCATGGGACCTCCTTTGTCAGTACCAAAATATGAGAATAGGTTTTCCCCTTTTATCTGGCAACAAAACAGGTGTGATTGGTCCACACCAGAGTCAGCTTTCTTTGGAGGCTAGTCTCAAATGGTATTAGACCAGAGGATACCCTAGACCAGAGGACGCCTTTTGGCGAAAACCTATTTGGCGTTCCTTTTCACGTTCCTCTGGTCTAACACCATTTGAGACTAGGCTCCAAAGAAAGCTGTCTGGTGTGGACCAATCAGTTTCAAAGACAATGCCTATTTATCAGAGTGTTTTTCGTCTGCATTCTGACCACAAGTATTGTGTTTAATGCATACATGATTCCTTGTAAAAGGTTTCAGGTTGGTGTTTTAACATCTTAACACCTGTTTTGTTGCCAGATAAAAGGGGACAACCTATTCTCACGTGTGTGTATTGGTTTATGTGTGTGTTGTGTAGTAACTCTTGACACCAAGGAGACGTGTAGAGGAAGATGGAGATGAGGATTCTTACATAGGGCTGCTTGCCGTTTATTCACACTCTTGCACACTCTTATACACTCTGTTTACACTCTCTATACTCGACGCTTACACACGTCAGAACTCTGTCCTTTACGCGGACATCGCTCAGCTATCTACGCCCTGGTACGGCTTCTCTTATGCCTACCCCCTCGTCTGCCCTGGGCGGAGGCTCACCCATTACCACCCGGCGACGAGGTGAGGCCTCGACATCACTAGCCCTTCTTCGGCGGCGGCTGGGATGTCTTCCATGCAGGTTCTCGTTCCCATCTTCTCTCTCCCCACGGCGACCCCGCCCTCGTCCCGGGGTCCCCCTAAAGTACCCTGCCGCCTCGTTGACATGTCATCACATCACGTCATCCCACTCCTCTACAGGTGACATGACGTCATCCCCCTACTCTACATGTGTATGTGAAGTGTATGTATGGGTTAATGTGTGTGTGCAGTGTGTATGGGTTGATGTGTGTATGTGCAGTGTTTGTGTAGGGGTTGATGTGTGTGTGTAAATTAAATTCATGGCACAGTTGGTGCACTGGTGGCAGTTGATCAACTAAAGATTTAATTTTGGGGGATACACAAACATGAGTCCCAGTATAAGCAATAAGATTAATCTCTCGGAATGTACTTATGCGTGTCGTGCATGTGTTTGTGTGTAAGTATTTAATTAATAAATAACAATATAAACCTCTGGGTCTGAGTATTAAATAATAAGTCTTGCATCAAACAATGACCCCTATGCTTATGAGACACTGAATGTCGAAACTGGTCCTAAATTTGATGATATGAAAGCAATGCTGCTGAATTATAGACTCCCAGCAATACCGTGTGGCTAATAGGATGTGTGAAGGACTGAAATCCTGCAGCGCCCGCAAGGTCCCCCTGCTCAAGAAAGCACATATACATGCCCGTCTGAAGTTTGCCAATGAACATCTGAATGATTCAGAGGACAACTGGGTGAAAGTGTTGTGGTCAGATGAGACCAAAATGGAGCTCTTTGGCATCAACTCAACTCGCCGTGTTTGGAGGAGGAGGAATGCTGCTTATGACTCCAAGAACACCATTCCCACCGTCAAACATGGAGGTGGAAAGATTATGCTTTGGGGGTGTTTTTCTGCTTAGGGGAAAGGACAACTTTACCGCATCAAAGGGATGATGGACGGGCCCATGTACCGTCAAATCTTGGGTGAGAGCCTCCTTCCGTCAGCCAGGGCATTTAAAATGGGTCGTGGATGGGTATTCCAGCATGACAATGACCCAAAACACACGGCCAAGGCAACAAAGGAGTGGCTCAAGAAGCACATTAAGGTCCTGGAGTGGCCTAGCCAGTCTCCAGACCTTAATCCCATAGAAAATCTGTGGAGGGAGCTGAAGGTTCGAGATGCCAAACGTCAGCTTTGAAACCTTAATGCCTTGGAGAAGATCTGCAAAGAGGAGTGGGACAAAATCCCTCCTGAGATGTGTGCAAACCTGGTAGCCAACTACAAGAAACGTCTGACCTCTGATTGCCAACAAGGGTTTTGCCACCAAGTACTAAGTCATGTTTTGCAGAGGGGTCAAATACTTATTTCCCTCATTAAAATGCAAACCAATTTATAACATTTTTGACATGCGTTTTTCTGGATTTTGTTGTTGTTATTCTGTCTCTCACTGTTCAAATAAACCTACCATTAAAATTATAGACTGATAATTTCTTTATCAGTGGGCAAATACCCATCCACGACCCATTTTCAATGCCCTTGCTGAGGGAAGGGGGCTCTCACCGAAGATTTGGCGGTACATGGCCCCGTCCATCGTCTCTTTGATGCGGTGAAGTTGTCCTGTCCCCTTAGCAGAAAAACACCCCCAAAGCATGTCTCCACCTCCATGTTTGACGGTGGGGATGGTGTTTTTGGAGTCATAGGCGAGTTGAGTTGATGCCAAAGAGCTCCATTTTGGTCTCATCTGACCACAACACTTTCACCCAATTGTCCTCTGAATCATTCAGATATTCATTGGCAAACTTCAGACGGGCATGTATATGTGCTTTCTTGAGCAGGGGGAACCTTGCGGGCACTGCAGGATTTCAGTCCTTCACGGCGTAGTGTGTTACCAACTGTTTTCTTGGTGACTATGGTCCCAGCTGCCTAGAGATCATTGACAAGATCCTCCCGTGTAGTTCTTGGCTGATTTCTCACCGTTCTCATGATCATTGCAACTCCACGAGGTGAGATCTTGCATGGAGCCCCAGGCCGAGGGAGATTGACAGTTCTTTTGTGTTTCTTCCATTTGCGAATTATCGCACCAACTGTTGTCACCTTCTCACCAAGCTGCTTGGCGATGGTCTTGTAGCCCATTCCAGCCTTGTGTAGGTCTACAATCTTGTCCCTGACATCCTTGGAGAGCTCTTTGGTCTTGGCCATGGTGGAGAGTTTGGAATCTGATTGATTGATTGCTTCTGTGGACAGGTGTCTTTTATACATGTAACAAGCTGAGATTAGGAGCACTCCCTTTAAGAGTGTGCTCCTAATCTCAGCTCATTACCTGTTTAAAAGACACTTGGGAGCCAGAAATCTTTCTGATTGAGAGGGGGTCAAATACTTATTTCCCTCATTAAAATGCAAATCAATTTATAACATTTTTGACATACGTTTTTCTGGATTTTGTTGTTATTCTGTCTCTCACTGTTCAAATAAACCTACCATTAAAATTATAGACTGATAATTTCTTTATCAGTGGGCAAACGTACAAAATCAGCAAGGGATCAAATACTTTTTTCCCTCACTGTAACTCATTCACCCACTGATCCACCTTCTCAAGCACTTACTGAAGTAATCATTAACCCACTCACTAACTCACCCACCCACTCACAACACTTCCTTTTCTACTTAATCCGCTCTCTGCTCAACTTCAGATTTTACTTCTGTCTTATCTGTCCTCAAGCCCTGATAGTAACCATACTCAAGTAAAAACAACGGGTTATACTCTAAGCTATTGCAACCTTGGTAAGTGCTGTTTTTTAGGCTGGCCACTTGAATTTTTGGCCTATGGACCTGTTAAACTGTGTGCACGCGTGTGTGTTATTTTGTGCACAGCATGCGAGGTTAAGCTCAGATTATGCACTATTTAGAGAATTCCCAAGTGGCCACTAGATTATACATCGGCCACTGCGACTGTTGGATTTAGCTTTTATAGCACGCAGCTCGCTGCGTTTACAATCAAGGTTGCTGAGACCCAGGCCCAAAAGGCCCCAAACGCCAAGCCGCCACCAAACAAAACAGCATAGTTGTCATTGATAAGAGTGGGACGTGTTTCTTTGAATTGAGCAAGATTTTTACGACTGTTATTTCATTAACGTATTATTTACAGGCAGTCCCTCGGTTAAGTGACATCGGTTAACATTTTTGCGGTTAACTTTTCATCTCCAATAGGAAAACCATGGTTTCGACGAACTTTACAATGTTGATTAACGATATGTTTACGTTGTGCACGCGGATGCCAATTTAAGCCAATCCAAGCGCTCGTAAATGGGGCTGATCCATGCCCTCATTCATCAGTGATTCCCATTTATTAGCGTTTAGATCTCGACTGGCTTTGTCTACATTACATTTTCTGTTTTGGCAGTGGAAACCTCTCCCTTTTACTTACTCGGTGATTTTTGCTTAATTTTCAAGTTATAAGTAAATTCGATTCACAGTTATTTCAGTTAACAGTAGTTTTTTTATGGAATGAATTAAACACATTAACCGATGGACTACTGTATTGACTTATTTTATTAATGTATTGACTTGATTAATTATTTGATCAATTGTAGTACTAATCATGTATGGATGTTTGGAAATCATAGCCACATCCCCAATGCCATCGGGTATATAGATTGTCACATATATAACAGTTTAAATCGTGGTTGCTTTGGATAGCATCGTTTTTCCCATAGGAATGTGGGATTTCCATCACTAGCTCAGAGCTGTAAGCAGGACGTGAGACCAGTGAATTCAGTTGCTCATTTTAAGTAGGAAGTGGCTCTTGTTTAGCCAGGGAAGCTTCAACCGAGTCTCAGGAGTATCTTTCAGGAGGGTCCAGCACTCTAAGGATATTGCGTGAGGTGTGGAAGGTTCTTGCTGGCTGGAGGAGGTCACAGAGCAGGCCCAGGTGCTATGGGTTAATGCGCTTTGGTGACTGGCTGGCAGATACACCGCCTGCACTCGCCACTGTGCCACCTCGCTGGCGCTCTGCTTGCACACAACAGACACAATTAGCTTCCTTCCAATATCTGTCCCCTCAAATAAAAACAATATCGTTTTTCTACACATCCCATCAGCCACATGGCCTTCTTGAGAGGGCATTATATTTGCAGCAATGGGGTAATACAACACACCTCTGGACTGCTTTTAACATTCGGTATCTCTTCAGCAGAGTCAGCCTTGCTTGAGCCTATGCCGGTGAACTGCCAGATGTGTCCAGGCAATGGTCCTTTCTGTTTGATACAAGTTCAATTTTGTGTTTAGTTTATTGTCCTTACCCCACACCTCCGATTAGCACGGTTGGCTGACCCTGTGAAAGAAGTTCAACGTACATACATATGTAGTGGCGGTACGCGCTGACAAAGGGGCGGCGTGTGTGTGAGCACGCCGGGCGTGGCTAAATCAAGAGTGGTGGTGTTGACACGCGCTGACAGTGATGGATCACGGGGCGGCGCGGGGTGCGTAGTTGTGCGCGCTGACACAATGTGGGAAATAGGATCTTGGGCAGCACGCAGTGATTGGTCAACTGGGGTGGGTGCTCTCAGCGACGTCCGCATGGAGGACTATAAAGGGGGACGCGCGGGAGCACTCGGGGAGTTGATAGCCAGTTGAAGATCGAAGACGGAGTTGAAGAGGTAGGGCCCTGAGACCCCTAGTCCCGCTGTCCTTGTAAGGGCCGGGACCCTGTGTGGCTCGGAGGCGAGACTGTGGGACCCGTGGTCTGACGTCCATGTGGGACGAGGCTGTGGGACCCAGAGTTGAGACGGACACCCCAGCCGGGTGGGTTCCGAGAAGCTAAGGGGCGTAAGAGCCCGTGAGGGTGTAGCCAGGGGAACCCCGTGGGTTAGGCTACAGTTAGCCATCCGTGTAATATAAGTTGGTGTTAATAAAGAGTGTGCAACCCGTGAAGTTGTCTCCCGCCAAGTTCATACACTACAACTGGCGTCAGAAGTAAACCTGTCTTCAAAAGGATGGATACCAGGAAGACCACCCGTACTCACGCGCAAGATTGGGAAGACAACGGCGTACCTGAACC